ATAAGATTCAAACTTTTACTTTGAGAGTAAAAACATCTGTCGAACAATCGAAAATTTGGATTCACTTTATAAAATGGGGAGCAGAAGACAGCATTCATTCACTTACTTACATAGTCAATAGAAATCGGTTTTGTCAGTATGTCATTATGAGACAGTGTTAATATATCAAAAAGGAAAAAATGTGTTTTGAATATCAAAAAGTTGAGTTTTGATCACCAAAATTGTGTAACTGCGAAATGATCACCAAAAAATTAGTGATTTAATCACCAAATCAATTAAGAGTCGAGCCAATTAAAATGACAATATGTTCCCATAAATGAAACTCAACTTTTCTAATGTTATATGATTAAGATGAACTTATCAATTGGGATTAATAATGAATTTCAATATAAGTGTGGGACGTAACAAAAAAACGTTAAAGTGAGGGTATATGAGTATAAGTATGTTGGTGTGCGTGAGTTCTGGGCGCGAAGATTGATGCGATGTGGATGATATTTGGAACGAGAGAACGATACGTTTGGTTTCAATATTTCTTGTAGTTAATGAAGCGGATGCACAGAGATGCTGTAGTCGTTGATGATATAGCATTTATTTGATTGAATTCTTTTTATTTTTCATTTGTCTTTTTGATGATGCCGCCTATAATTAATTAAATGATCAAATCACTCATTTTTTGGTGATCAAAACTCAACTTTTTAGTGTTCAAAAAAATACTGACCGTGTGAGAAAAAATGATGTAATGATTACTGTATGACATGATAGTGATTAACGAAGATAGGCAGTGTTGATATTTGATATGCAATATACTTATTTTATGATTTATTGATTTATCTTACGTATGAATCATTTTGATTCATTGTTTCTTCGAGAAAACTTGCTTTGTTTAGTTTTTTTTGTGTTCATTTGACGCTAATATTCACAGATCAGTCCGTTACAATTTTACGAAAACTTTTAACAATATATTATTTCAGTTATTATCATCATCAAATATTGTTTATGATGAAAAAAACAACTATTGTTTCTTACCATCAAACTTTTTTCTGCACTCATTCTTGTTGTAGTTCATATATACAGTTAAAATAACAGAAAATGTAATGAAACTATTAATAACAGTCATGTAATTCATATTTTGTGTATGTTGTTGCAAAGAACAAGACAAACTTTTTGTTATACATGTATGTGAATACTTTCAATAGAACAAACATTAGTTATTCTTGCAAATACTGTCATCTAATGTATTTTTCTATACATGTCCTTCATTTTTTATGTAGCATAAAGAAAAGTAATGATCATCTGTCACAGGTAGATTTTTTCCTGTTAATCGAAGCGTATGTCACAGATTAATAGTGTCGAATAATTCTGGATCATTATGTATTTACTGCAAGGAGAACTTTTGAAACTGAAACCATTAGTCATAAATATTTGGACATCAAATGTAAGATTTTCTCAATATTGTTATTAAGTGAATAGCCAATCACTTAATACGAAATCATTTTGAGAAAAATCAATGTGTAAAATAAATAAATGATTAAATATCTCAATGATATATCTATAACTGATTGCCTGTGTCTAATTTGAATTATATCAAAATGAGTTTTCTTTCAGACAAATATTCAAATATATTGGTTTCTTACGTACTTATATTCCTATATCTATTAATACAGAGATTTTTGATCTCAACTTAGAACATAACTATACTCTTGTAGAGATCCATTAGGTTCAAGTGTTCAAACATTATGTAAGATATTTGGAAAAAATGTTCTTGTTGTACTTTCTTTTCTTTTTTCTAAAGTTTATATTATAAAACATTTGTCTTTATCTTTTACGATTAATTTTCTTTGTTGAACTTTATCTAAAATTGTAGAAAAGGGAATAAAACATCTATCACTTGATCTGACAATACCATCTAATTATCCTTTTTATCATGATTGAATTATATAGCCTTGCATATGATAACAGTTGTGCTAAAAGTAGTTGAACTGCGTTTTAAGAGTACAAATCTTTTCTGTCTGTTAGAAGAAAATAAACATGTTCGTAAACAATTTATTGAAATGTCAGCCAGACGAGTAAGTATGAAAGTTTTTGGTATCTTAGTACCAGACAAACGCATGAATCAGTTCGTACTTTACAAAGTTTATTGGTTTAAATTATCCTCAATTTATAAAATAGTTCTTGAATTTTTTTTAGAATGAAGGATAAAGAACGTCTGTATACACAAGTTTAGCATTATCTCTTAAAATGACTATATAAATTTCACAAAGGATAGTTCTTGAAATGTCAACATTAGTCAAAGAGTACGAAATGAGGTTGTTTAGTTAGAACAATATACACCGATTCCTCTGCTTGGTAACATAATGAAGATCGTATCACAGTCGTATTTTAACCCAATACTTCATAAATAATTTCAGCTTCTGTTACTGAGATAATATAACCTCCAAAATAAAATTCAGTCAAAATGGAATTTCGTACTAACGATTGTGCCATATGTTTGAATCCATCTATGTTCCACTGGTTATAGATCACATTTAAGCAAATGAGAGACATATTAACAAGGATTATATCGGCTAGTTTTTTCGCACTGACATTTTCCATTTTATTATAATCCAAATACAAATGGGTAATCTGATTATTTGTAGCAAGGACTAGCAATCGTGTCAGTCAGATTACATTCGTTTAAATGCAATCTACATCGATTGCTAGCTTTTGACTGAAGAAGTTCAGCTATACTTCCATTGTCATAAGATCCATATTCGTTTTACTTAGATCTAGAGAAATCAATGAGTTGTTGAAACAAAGAACATCTACTATGCATTTGACTTGTTGAGTCGTTAAGACGTCACGTAGACGTAAATGAGAGAGAGTTCTGCTCAATTTCAAGTTGTTCGCAAGTCTTTCTGTAACGCTCTCAGATATTTTAAAGTCATCAAGCATATAAGTAATTCTCATGGATGTTGAAGTTGAGTTTTGTGTTATTGGAATTTTTGAAATGTATAGATTTCGCTCTTCACTATATCTTTAGGCATTCTTCATATAAACAAACACTAAGCTACAACTTTTTGTGATTTCTTCCATAATGTAATCAATCTCTTCTGATGCAGAAGTAGTTATATTTAAACCTATAGAAATCAAATTTGAGCACGATTTGATCGTTTGAGCTAACAATGAAGCGCTAGTATCTCTTCCAATTTGCAATTAATCTGAAGCGTTCTTACGTTTAGATTTGCACTAATAGCATCTTGTAGTTGCTACATTTCATTGTCACTAAGACTTGCTAAATCCCCATAACAGTCTATAGAATAAATATAGAATATGTTCAATTTCTTGCTTGTTCGAATTAAGTCACATAGACTTGATAATATTGATAAAAAATTGTGAGACGCAACACTTAAGCAGGATAATTTAAGACTGAAGAGTGCAATGAGTGATTTAGAAGATAAACTTTTCCTCAAATCATTGTGGTATAGTAATAGAGAGTGCAAAGTTTAAGTGGTAACCAACGCATCAATAACCGTGTGCCCTGATCATCGCAATGAAAAGTTAATATATTTACATTCTGCGTTGAATTCAATAAATCGTCTCAGTACTTTTTGATTGAGTTCTATAAAATCCCCGTTTTCGTCATAGATTCAAAACATCGTGGTGCCTAAACTCAAACAATCAAGTTTGCAAACTGTTTCTATAATCTGGTCGATTGAATCTATTGCAGAATTATTACTGAAGACGCCAAGATTGAGATAATAACAACGGTGATGACCAGAAAGAAGTTCTTGTAAATGTTTTATATCGTTTACGTCCCGGATATAGTAAGAAAAGATCAATTCATCAGCATTCTGATGAAAATGGGTGCTATCCAAGGCATTAAATCTATATATTGTTGCAAGCATATCAGATGGATAGTGTTTCGTACAAATCCAACCAACTGTCAAGTCCATCGTAACAGATCGACATAAATTAGAAAAGATTGTCAACTGCCTTTCAAAGTAGAATGTGTTGTGCTCTTGCGAGGATTGTAGAAAATGAGGCAATTCTCATGTATCTGTCATTGTCTTATCAAAATGACTTTTACTAAGTGGTAATTTTGTGAGAATCACTTGCATTTCGAATACTTTTTGCATGAATGTATCCCAAAAAGCATCACTGTGAATTCTATTAATTTGACGACATTGAAATAAGTGTTTTGCAAGAGAAATCATAAATTGTTGCATAGATCGATTGTAACATTCAAAAAAC